TACAAAAGTGTTTCTATTGCCGAGTATCATCTCCTTTCTGATCAAGATAGGGAATTATTTTTTAAGTTTGGTGGCGGTGTTTAACCTTAATATATATGCTGATTGCCAATGCACAGCTTAGAAGATCTTGCTTATTACAGATGCACAGCTTAGAAGATCTTGCTGATTGCAGATGCACAGTTTAGTAGATTTTGCTAGTTGCAGGAGCACAGCTTAGTAGATCTTGTTGATTGCAGGAGCACAGCTTAGTAGATCTTGCTAGTTGCAGGAGCACAGCTTAGTAGATCTTGCTGATTGCAGATGCACAGCTTAGTAGATCTTGCTAGTTGCAGGAGCACAGCTTAGTAGATCTTGCTGATTGCAGGAGCACAGCTTAGTAGATCTTGCTGATTGCAGGAGCACAGCTTAGTAGATCTTGCTAGTTGCAGGAGCACAGCTTAGTAGATCTTGCTGATTGCAGATGCACAGCTTAGTAGATTTTGCTAGTTGCAGGAGCACAGCTTAGTAGATCTTGCTGATTGCAGGAGCACAGCTTAGTAGATCTTGCTGATTGCAGGAGCACAGCTTAGTGGATCTTGCTGGTTGCAGGAGCACAGATTGGGCTATTTATTGCTTCCATGTGTAGGTAACTCTGAAGCAATTACCTGACTGTTTTCACTGTTTTTTCTTTCTCAAATCTAATTTAACTGATTTTAAAAGCTGTTGATACTGGCTTTTTGTTTTCACCTGTTCATAACTTTAGTAATCATTTTTTATTTTTTTACAAGCTTTTACTCTGAAAAATTCACTACTCCTGGTCTGGTTTATAATTTTTATTCAGATTTTAGCTCAATGCTCTGGAAATGGTTTAAAATATTCTTTAGAACCGAGTACATTTCGTTAAAGCATAATCTTTGTAAGTTGGAGAATGTGCTATTTGTTATATTCAGTATTCTGCTATTTTATCCCTTGGGGACCTGGAGTTTGGCAATCCCTTTAGTATATGTCAGGGGTGGCATGCTTTTGGTTCTTATGGGGTTAATGATCAGACTTTTCCACAGATTCCCCTGTTGTGAATGGGGAACACTAATTTCCTTTCTGCAATAAAAGGTATTGTTTTAGGCTCATATGCTCCATGAATCTTTGATGCTGGTATTTTTATTGCCATTGGAAGGTCTTTCCAGTCCCCAGACCATTCTACCAGACTTACTATTTCAAGTGAAATTCACCTGCTACTAGAACAATAGAGGAAATCCCTGAATATGAAGTTCCATTACGGACCTCTCTTCTGATATTCATGGGGATTCATCTAGGTGTCCTTATATCTGGAATTTGCAACCAATGTGTGGCTTTAAGCTGTTGAGTCATCCTGCATAATATAATATTGTAGCTTGTTGAGGACAAACATTTGGCTGATGTGTTTTACATGGTCTCTGTACCTAGATCTGTGTAAATGATGGATTATATGTTTGGATTGGAGTTGATATCTTTGCAGATAAAACAAGCTGCAGAATGATCTTATCACCATAAGCTCTGCCATAAGTACTGTATCACTATCTGAAGATAAGGTCAGAGTTAGTATACGGTTGTTAGTTTTCATAAGGATAACTGAATATGTTCTACTATCCTGCTTATTATGTGTCTGTTGTCACAATGGATCATGTGCCTCTGGTTACCACTTTCTCATCAGTATCCTACCTTTTACATATCTCATACTTATATTGCACAACAATCCAGAAATAAGGTGCGCTATACCTTTTAAAACACTTTAGTACGTGTAAACCATAGAATATCATACCATATGATATATATCTGTATTATAAAGTGCATGTGAAAATTTATATAAAAAAATCAAACTTACAAACAGTAGCTGGAAAATGCAAAAATGGTACTGGTTACCCCTCGGGGTGATATATATATATATATATTTTTTTTTTTTTTTTTATATATAAAACATAGGGTAGTATGTAATATGTATAGAATAAAATAAGGATGAATAACACTCACAATGGTAGAGCAGTAAAAGTCTGCTCTAACTTTGCTGGCATAAGCCCTCTTATCTCAGGACTAAGAGACCTTTTTCAGACATTCTTCAAGAATAATTTTATTTGTAGATACACATTAAAATAATAACACAAAGTGATTAGGCTCTTTTCACCCATGCAGGAGATCTCTCCAAAGTGCGGTCGCAGAGTATTTGGCTGAAATCCACCGATTTTCAGACTGAGCCACTGAAGCAGATACTTCCGGGTTTGGGAGCGATCACGTGGTTACATCGTGCGTGATGACGCGTTTCGCCCAATCGGCTTCCTCAGATCACAAATTTTTTTTATATACATTTTCACGTGTTGCACTTTATAATACAGATATATCATATGGTATGATATTCTATGGTTTACACGTACTAAAGTGTTTTAAAGGTACGGCGCACTTTATTTCTGGATTACTTAGTGGTGTTTTGAGTTATTTCTCACGTTAAGGTGCAGCTTTATAATTAAGAACATTGCCTCACTTGTTAAAGGAAATAACCTTTTTGTTCACTATCACTGTAATTGCATAGCGCCTTTCTTTTGCTTGTATATAATTTTTTTATATTATATTGCACAACAGTCTAATCCAGGGGTTCTCAACCCTGTCCTCAGGACCCCCTACCAGTCCAGGGTTTAGGGATTACCTGGGTGTGTCTCAGGTGTTTAGAAAAAGGGAAAAAAACACCTTAGACTCTAAGGTGTTTTTTTTTCTTTTCTTTTTCTAAACACCTTAGACACACCCAGGTAATCCCTAAACCCTGGACTGGTAGGGGGTCCTGAGGACTAACGTTGAGAACCCCTGGTCTAATCGAATCTGTTTTTAATTGGTGTAAAAATGTAGATGAATGGATGTTCATGTGGAATCTTTCTTAATTTCTTCTTGTCTTCAGTTGATTGATATATATACGTCTTTTGTATATATATTCTTGGGCCAAATGCTCGCCACAATAATATGTCTATATTATTGAAAAGTAGTAATACGCAATCTGACTTACGGTTTCTTCAGGTTTATTCTTAGTTATGGATACATAAAACATAATATAGGATGTTACAGGATAATGGACATTCAACAGCAGATGGTAATTGCTGTACTTCTGATGGGAGAGTTACATCGTTGTACAGAGCCAAGACTCAAGCCAAGACTGAGAGCGACCTCGTGTCCCTCTGTTACTATAAAGATGTGCTAATACTAACGTCAGCGTTTAACTCTAGCCATATAAGGAAAAGACCCCCGAATCCACATTCCAGAGCTCTCGGACAAAGAAAGCCTTGTGACTTATTGATACCATCTGTTACTTATGTCAATCCACACATCCATATATATAATCAATAGAAACATAGAATATGCAATATTCTACATTCCCTCTGTTTATGGTTTGTTTTAAAACCATAACACAATGTAATAACCTGTCCATTCATACATCACTTGTATCACATTCATTGAGCATAGAACAAGATGAAGTCACAACTTTCTATTATATGAGAGTTCTTAGAAGGTCGAGTTTCTATCCCTCATACTGCTTACTTTACTTCAAAACTCCCTCTGTTTCAGCTATGTATTGATATCCATATCCATGTTACATCATAACTACTTGAACATAATATATACATATATCTATATATAACAATAATAAAAGAATAAAATAAAATATTTACAAATGTTGATCCAATAAACAATAAAGCAATCAGAAATATCTACCTGCTTTGGTACAGTCATATCTTTGTAGATAACAGAATCCAAGATCGTAACTTTCTAAATAATAACTGTGTATCACTATCATATTCCTACAGACACATATAGCATAGTATTTTCATTCTCAATACCTGATACCACTACATGTATTACTATAATATCCTGTCCAATTATATTTCCATGTATTTATATGGTTTCTAGCAACCTTAAAATCTTTAGGTCATTTGTATTCATGAATTACATTCCTATACCATTAATACCACCTAGTGATGATTGTATCAGTACTTTACAATCATAGTATTTAATTTGAATATTCAGTAGGCTCTCACTACCTAAAATATACCAACACTACTTATAAGTCTCATTCAAAGGATGTGTTATCAACCATGAAGTTCTATAATAATTCTTCAAATAATGTTCATGGTGTTGACAATACTTATTGTCCTAGAAATTCTTCACCCAGAAATCTTTCTATCATAGATTTGTTTTAGTTTACATAATTATAATTTTCACTAAAATTCCACCTTGTAGTAACAAACTTTAAATTCAATAGAAACATAGTTTACTTTAAAATAACTTGGAAAGAATACTTTAAATTCATTAGCATCACTCTTTTCATTAGCATTGTGATGACTTATTAATGTAATACATCTTAAAAGCAGGATTGTCCTAATGTTCTGACCAATCCGTATTCCTTAGTACACTTCAACTGACTAAAATAAAATAAACAAAATTTGGGGTCATACTGCCCAGAAACTCTTATTCCTAGTCTGTGTCTAACAAACTCAGGGTAATCATAAACAACTTAACAATGTATTCATTGGATACCATCATATCCAGAAACCTATTCTCCCTAGTCCATACCTTTATAGACTTAGGTCAAATATAACCGTGTACTATACTCTTAACTAAACTTCAATTCAATTCCTCTTGGATCTCTGAACTCTTATATCCAAGGCATTCTTAATGTATATAATTACTTAATATAAATCAATATAAATTATCCTTCCTTACTTTTCTTCCTTTTGTTACCATTGTATGTTTTACTTCTTCTCGATATAAACAAATTACTCATTCTTGTGAATCTATTAAATACTATTGAACGCAATCTTTGCAGTATTAAATAACCATGATCCTTATTTTATGAACTTCATATTTTATCTACCTCTGATACTTCTCATTCTATGTATAGGTAATAATGTAATAGTTCTCTTCATAATACTATCCTTTCATAATTTTCTAAGTACTCTCTTTTGGTATTAATACTCATAACTGTTATATAACTTTTCATTGTCTCTTTTCTTTGTTAATATTTAGGAATTAATGTCAATCTTTTATTTCTTTGTAAGTCTGTTAATCTTCTGTATCGAATGAACTCTGTAGAATCTTCCATCACAGTTTGCAGATCAGATGAAAAGTCTCTTTCCAACAGTCGATGTCCAGTTGTCTGAAGGAATGCTTTCCTGATTTATTGCCACAAGGATCTGTCATGCTTTACCAGATCAGTTATCTCTGTCTATTTCGTTGCTTCAGCCACACAGATGCGCAGTTCTTTGCTTGGATCTGGAAATTTGCCAATCTCTGCCACGTGCTTGCTTCTAGAATTCACGTTGTATCTTGTGCTTTTTGTCTCAGTTGTAGAAAATAGTCTTGTACAGTCTTTGATTTGAAAACTTTCTTTTTCTTACAAACACAGTTCTTCTATGACAGTCAGTCTAGATTCTTTTTTTCTCTTCAAGTTTGTTTTCCCAGTTCCAAAATAGCTTTGTAACTCGATTCTTCTCTCTCCCCCCTTGAAGTGGGAACAAAACTTGAATAGAAGACTGGCTGGCTAGCCAATGTAAAAAATGTAGATGAATGGATGTTCATGTGGAATCTTTCTTAATTTCTTCTTGTCTTCAGTTGATTGATTGATATATATATATATATATATATATATATATATATATATATATATATATATATATATATATATATATATATATATATATATACACGTCTTTTGTATATATATTCTTGGGCCAAATGCTCGCCACAATAATATGTCTATATTATTGAAAAGTAGTAATACGCAATCTGACTTACGGTTTCTTCAGGTTTATTCTTAGTTACGGATACATAAAACATAATATAGGATGTTACAGGATAATGGACATTCAACAGCAGATGGTAATTGCTGTACTTCTGATGGGAGAGTTACATCGTTGTACAGAGCCAAGACTCAAGCCAAGACTGAGAGCGACCTCGTGTCCCTCTGTTACTATAAAGATGTGCTAATACTAACGTCAGCATTTAACTCTAGCCATATAAGGAAAAGACCCCCGAATCCACATTCCAGAGCTCTCGGACAAAGAAAGCCTTGTGACTTATTGATACCATCTGTTACTTATGTCAATCCACACATCCATATATATAATCAATAGAAACATAGAATATGCAATATTCTACAATTGGTTTTCACGAATCTGTATGATTTGATTCTTCTTGTCTTTTCCTAGTAATATCTGTCATTGGTTTTTACATCTCCTGTGACTGATTATTACTGTATCAATTCATTCACAGTGTGAGGTATGGTTGTGAGTCTGATTATTGCAATATATAGTCATTATTGCAGTGTTTTAATAACAGACTCTCTTATTTCTCTACTAGGCTTTTCCTCTTTCTGACAGGCAGATATTGATTTGTTTCCTGTATCTACAGGTAAGTAATTCACTAGGCAAGCAGGGCCGACGCCACCATAAGACGAAAAAAGTATTTGCCTGGGGTGCAGACCTGTAGGGGGCGCCCACTGGGAAGTTTCCTGGTTGGCTGCTGCTTTCTGGAGCTGGAACGCTGGGTGAGCTGCTCTTTAGCAATAGCAACCCGCCAGCGCAACTGCTTTACCTGCTGGGCTCCCTCCATGTCAGGAAGAGCCCAGCTCCCTTCCAGCAGGAAGGGGAAGCCGGGATATATAATCATATCCTGGCTGCCCCTGTCTGTAACTACCGGACACAGGGGGTGGACCCTGCAACTTGAGCTAGCCAGACATGCTTCAAATGAGCTCCTGCGATCGGTGCTGATTCACCGGAGATCTCTGGTCACCAGGCTGGAAAGGTCTAACTGAGGTGCTACCTATGTGGGGAACACTATTCTGAACCGATTGAGACCACTCTCGAGACACTCAGCTAGCAGGACCCGCAGTAGCAGGTTGCGGCCTACTAACACATGGGGAGGGGAAGAGCTGCCGACTTCCTCACTCCACCCTGCACGGACTGGCAAATCCTTTATTCTCTCTACCCCCACTACTGTGGCACCGAACCCTTGCAAGATTGAGCAGACCTTCTCTTGTCATAATTTGCCTAGCATGATCTCACTCTGCATGTTCGTCTCTTTAGCCTTTGCATTAATTTATTTTCATGTATTTTCATTTATTCATTTTAATTTTGCATAGTTAGAAGCCTTACTAGCGATGTGTAGGTTAGGTGGCTCACCCAGCATGACACTATAACCTTAAACTCTCAGCTGACATACTTACTTACTTTCATGTAGTTCAAGCATTACCTAGCAGTATGTTACCAAGTCAGGATAATTAACTGCATAGTATTCATAGCCTTATATAAGCCTGTGCCTAGTCAAGACAAGACACACACACATATATACAGACAGACACACACAAAATATTTTAGTCACCCTCCTGTTTTCTACCTTTTAGGTGGAGGAGGATGACTTTCCCTGGGATCGAGTGGTGGCTCAGGTGGATGGGAGTCAGAGTTCCCACTCTGACTCCCTCCTCCTTCCTCCCGCGTGGCTCTGTGTTAGCTGGGAGGAGTGACGTGCAGTCACTTCCTCCCAGCTCTGTGATGTAATCACAGGGGGCCCGGTCGCGCTGTTAAAGCCCCCAGCGCTGACCGGGCCCCCTCACAATCCACATCCATCGGGTGGCTCTGACAGCATGGGCCACCCGATGGACCCCTCCATATGCGGCCCCGGCGGTTTGCCGCGCGGGCCGGGCCGCGCCGCAAGTGGTGATGACGCACCCACTTGCCCGCCCAATCTCTCAAAATTAGAAAATCCCTACCGCCCACCTAGAATCCTGAAATGCCCACTAGTGAGCGGTAGGGACCAGGTTGACGACCCATGGTATAAACGGAAAGGACAAGATGGAGTAACATTCTATGTTGTAGAAAGTTAATTCGACCATTCATATTTGACATAAGCTTTGGAAACAAAAGAAATGCATAAAGCTGCTTTTTAAATTGTCCTCAAAATGATTTGTGCAGGGATAAACCCTGTCATACATAGGCAGAGAGGACAAACGAAAAGAGAACAACTTGGAAAGTAGGACCAAGACCGAAACCTATAGGGGAAGAGGTACTATGGGTGAGTGTCTAATTGGATATCACTCAAACAGAGTGTTCAATGATATAGACAAACACTGCAGAGGACATTAGTCAGCCCCTACGGGTTTAGAGCATAACCACATGTCAGACCCTCTGTACAGTGAAAGTATGGCAGGAACTGACTACTAACACTGCCATTTATGAGATAAGCATACAGCATAAATATGCTGTTACTGCTGTCTGTAAAGTAAACGTTCAGTAGAGACTGACTGCTGTCAGAGACAGGGGGCTGGTTAATAAACACATTATCTAACATTAAATGGATAAGCAGTTCCAAACAGGGGCTAGGTGAATAGACATACTGGCTGATATTAAATGGATAAGCTGTTCCAAAATTAAGCTAGTGCTACCACCAAAACACCCCTGCTGCTTCAAGGCAGCCCCCATTATCCTCTATATTGCTAAAGTCCTAAAAAAGCCCTATATTCCAAAGAAGCCGGACCATCATATTGTACAGTTAAAAAAAAAAAAAAACAAGCAAATAACAGCCCGATGCGCGTTTCGGCGGTAACATCGCCTTTGTCAAGAGCTGTTGATAACAAATTGACTACCTCACGAGAAACCGCTTATTGGAGAACTTTGGACTGAGAAAACTGATATAGTTCACCCTTTTCCTTTATTCTTTTATCGTCTAGTCCTATTTAAAGGGACAATATAGTCACCAGTGCAACTACATGTATTCCTAACCCTATAGTGTTAACACCACCATCCAGAAGTCCCTCTGGTCTGTGGCGTACACACTACCCATGGGGCCCCGGTGCGAAAACTTACTCTGCGCGGGCTGGGGCCGCAACACATGCGACCCCTGCGACCGCGGTATATACGCCAGTGCATGCAAATACACATACACTTAAAGGACCACTACAGACACCCAGATCACATCAGCTCAATGAAGTGGTCTGGGTGCCAGTTCCCTCTAGTTTTAACCCTGCAGCTGAAAATATAGCAGTTTCAAAGAAACTATGTTTCACTGAGGGTTAATCCAGCCTCTAGTGGCTGTCTCATAGAGGAGCTTCCGCGATTCTCACTGTGAAAAACACAGTGAGAACGTCCATAGGAAAGCATTGAGTAATGCTTTCCTATGGGCGGTTTGAATGCGCGCGCAGCTCTTGCCACACATGCGCATTCGGAGCTGAGAGGTGGATCGGGGCGGAGAGATCCCCAGCGACAAGGGAGTCCGGCGCTGGAGAAAGGTAAGTGCTTAAGACATACACACACACTCATGAACAGATGCATACACACTAGCTAATAGACACACACTCAGTGACAGACACATACAAACTCACAACACACACTCAGTAACACACTCACTGACACACTCTAACACTAACACACACACACACTTTAAAAAAAAAAATATATATATATTTAATCCCCCAGCCTCCCTACCTTTGGGAGAGTTGAGGGGATTCCCTGGGGTCCAGTGGTGTCACTGGGTGGGCAGGCTGGCTGGCGGGCGTGTGAGGGAGCACTCTCCCCTGAGTGCTTCTTGTTCAGCTCCCTTGTGTGCCGTGTACTGATGCCGGAGCCAGAAGATGACGTTATCGCACACCCAGGGAGCTATAGGCTGCAGGGAGCTATAGTTCTCACCCGAACAACATCATTAAGATGAAGTTGTTCAGGTGACTATAGTGTCCCTTTAAGATTTTTATATACATAATCTCTCTCAAAATACTGTTAGAACGAAATTACATATATATTTTTTCTATTTTTTAACGTATGTATATATAAACTTAGTGTATATGAGTGTGTGTATATAGATATGTATATGTTATTTTATTTTACACTATTTTTAACCTTTTATTTAACTTTTTACAGGCAGCAGGGGGACTACCTGTCATTCCAGGCACTCCCACTGCTGGCACTGTTATGAATGGCTATTCTGTCCATGTGATCACAGATTCCCGCTGTCCTTAAGGGGTTAATTTTCTTTCTGTTTTCAAAGTCTGTGTTGTGATTCTAAAGAAAACAGGAGAGCAGTGCTTTGGCATGTTTAATTATGCTAGAATAAATACTAATACAGGAAGTGGCTGTTATATAAGAAAACTTGATGTTCAGGTGAGTTCTGGCATAAAAATAACCCTCACTTTGAATAACATTATAATAAAAATTATATAATAATATTATACAAATTATATTTTGCTTATTAATAATTAATTTAACCCTTTAT